ACTGATCTAGAGATTAAAATAATTTAGCATCATACGATGACTTCAAATCCTGGTGTAAGCCAGAAAGAGAATTTATTGAAATTATTATTCCTTTTTGGAAATCCCAGAACTCTTAATCCACTGATGACGTTCTTCATTAATTACAGAACTTGAACTTGTTTCTCATGATGTTCATTTAATCCAAATGCTGCTTTAAGTATTTTATCTGAAGTAGGGTATAGCTTGGTACTATTCATAACATCGAAAAAATTATCGATTACTCAAAGATGTCAGATGCGTTTTGATTTCCTGTGAGGTGGAGTGTAGCTTTTGCGGTAGATCTTAAAAATAATGTTTACGCTGGAGCGACTTTCTGTCTCTCGTGTTCCTTGACCATTAAATAATTTGGCTTTAGTTTGTGACACAATTTAATTTCTCCTGAATCTCTATTTAAAATCTCTTAAATAATATCAACATTTAAAACAGTTTCATCTTTTAAAACAAATCCATTATCTAAAAAGTAGTTTCTCAGTAACTTGAGGCAGAGCGCGAAATGAGACAGCTGATTAAAACAAATTGCACTTTTTGAAAAGGACCAGAATTTGGTTCAGTTTAGAGCCATAGCAGAGTTTTGGATCTACATGCATTTCGTCGAAACTGATAACGCGTATTTTTTCTACAGAATTCAAGTATTCGCATCTTTCCTTTATCACTTTGAATTTCTGGACTACACGAAAATTTGGCGCACCATCTCTTTAATGTGCTACTACTAGGTTAGTTAGTTAGTTCTAAGCCCACCTAGCAGGCGAAACCTGCCATATGGCTATGAGGGGACAGGCCAAGCCACAGAGGCATAACAAAACAAAACAAAAAAAAAAAAAAAAAAAAAAAAAAAAAAAGTAAAGTAGATACATACTTTCCAAACACTCTCGGTGAATTTAGTACATCAATGCGTTGTTTTAGTTTCTGTCTTTTTTCTGAAGTTTAAAATCTTTTATAAGTTTTACTTTCAATTCGTTATTATTATTCAAATCTTCTTTATATTATCAAAATTCATCTTACATTTATAAGTTACCTCAATTATTTTTGTTTTCAGTATGATTTTCCGCTTTGTTATATCTCGATACCAATATTCTTCTTATTCTCATTCACAGTTTGCATAATATCTCTAAACAATTTATAATTACTAAATAAATCCTCAAACTTCGTAAATTTATATATAAAAAGAGGTGAATTCCCCCAAAAAGAATTCTAATTAAAGTAGTCCCGATTCCATCGAATCCAGGGGCAGTGCCATCTCTGAGGCTAGAAATAACATCAAATAAAGTAAACGCCCGCTCTACCTCCTTGTTTCCTTCCATAAAAATACTTCGATAATCAGGATAATTGGAACAATAATCCAGCCTCAGGGTGTCTTTAATCAACTCATCATAACATTCCATGGCAGACGTGGATACACTACAATTATCTCTACATAAAATAACTTTTTCCTTTCTTATATTTGTGGCATATTTATAAAATTTGTCATAATAAATCTTGTTTTTATTGAACAAATAATTTCGAAAGTCTCTTTTTGTCTTTTTAAAATACCGCTAAAACACTTTTGTAATTAATTTTCCTTTGTAATCTTGTCTCCATGTCCAGACACTTTATCTGAGAACTTTTTCTTGCAGCTTTTGTCTTACGTCTTAGAATATCTAATTCAGGGTTCCACCAGGTTGTCCTCTGGCACCCATTCTTTATTTTACGTCTTAAAAATTTATCCATGTTTATTTTAATCTTTTTTTCCAGCCTGAGGACCACATTATTCAAACTGTCTCCATCTCTAACGGTCACGAGTTCATTTTCAAGTTTCATAATGTCTATTTTCAGTTTATTGACAAATTTTTTCGTTCTAAACGAATTGTAAGAATAAGAGAATTCGTATAAATTATTAATTTTTATAGCATTTAAATCAACATAAATATATCTATGGTCACTCAGGGTAGGTTCATCTAAAATGTTCATTTGCACAGAGCTAAAATCTATACTTGGTGACCCTAATACCAAATCGGTCCAACCAATTCCCACCAGGGAGGAGAAAGTCGGAGGTGAGTCATCTTTGTTGAAAAGTTTCAAATCATGAACCATAATAAAATCATAAACTAAAATACCTCTTTGGTCCAGTGCCGTAGCACCCCAATTAAAATTTTTAAAGGCTTATGGGCAGCAGCACGACCATGAAACCCAAGCAGATGTGCTTCCTTACGGATGGTATTCATTGAAACAATACTCCCGGATGCCTGTTGAAACTCCTCGCGGAAGTGGCTCATCGGTTGGGTGCGGTTCTTCCGAATTTCTCTGGACAGCACTCGTCGGTCTCTATCTCCCAGTTTCGTTGGTCTGCCGACTCGGGGCACATTCCGACAATCACCGCTCACCTTCCACTTCTTAATCACATAGGTCACTGTCGATTTTGGGAACTTCATATCGCTAGATACGTCCCTTAAGGATCGGCCACATTTGTGATACCCGATAATTATACCTTTCTCGAAATCAGAGAGTTCCGAACTGCGGGGCATCTTGCATGCGACGAAAGCCAATGCTGTTTCCTACGCGATATATACCGGCGGAGTCCGTGACATACCTTAGGACCGCAGATATTGTCATTTGCATAGGTGTCCAAATACTTATTGGTAGTCAGTGTATATATAATCTCTGTTAAACCTGTTAAACGTTTTCACTCTCTGCTTGTATTTCTCTGCATGTATCTCCGCGTATTACTCTGTAATAAATATTTGCTTTTCGAGCCACGGCATTTTCGATGTTCAACAATTATAAAAGATTATCCGAAACACAACTTCAGGACTCCGAAATTTAAAATTCTTCACCAGTTTTTAAACTAGAGAAACATTATTTTCCTTTAGAAGATGTTATTCTTTACTGTAATATAGACACAAGTGCACCTCGTCCGTTCAGTCATGAATCTTTTCGCTCTAACACCTAATCAACGGATTCACTGTCTTTCTCATGCCGGTATTTCATCCTCAACAAAACGAATCGCTAAGCGATGCTGATATGAAAAAATTTATTAAAACCGTAGTTCAGTCTTGTCTGCCATGTCAACGTTTTAAAATTAATAGACTTTCAAAATCGCCTTTGGGTACTTTTTCTTTGCCTGATGCAAGATTTGCGCATATTCATATTGATTTCATAGATCCTCTTCCACCGTCTGAAGGCAACCGTTATTGCATGACAATTATTGACAGGTTTACCAGATATCCCGAAGTTATAACTGCCGACATGTCAGCTCAGACTACTTGTAAAGTGTTAGTGCATAACTGGATAGCTAGATTTGGCTGCCCGGTATCAATAACAACTAATCAAGGCCGAAATTTTGAATCTCACTTATTTAAGGATTTAATGAAGATTTTGAGTACACATCGCATGAGAACTTATGCTTATCATCCTCAGTCCAATGGGCTGATTGAAAGATTTATAGGCAACTTAGAATTACAATAATCGCTGTTAACAATCTAAAAATGTAGTGAAATTCTGCCTATAGTTCTGCTAGGGTATCAGATCTGCCATTAAGGAAGATATAAATGCTACTTGTGCTGAACTTGTTTACGGTACAACATTTAGATTACCCTCAGATATGCTTAATGTTACTAATTTCGTACCTCCTTCTGAATCTTATCACAGCTTCGATCAGTCATGCATTCAGTTAGACCGATTCCAATCTCTAAGCATGTTCAACCTCCAATTTATGTGCACCCGGCACTTCAAACCTGTTTTCGTGTATTTCTACGGATTGATTCGCTGTTGTTAAACGAATAGACAAAAATTTTATTATTGAGGTAAATAACAAAACGATTACAGTTTCAATCGATTGCGTATAAGTTGTCGGAACGTATAGATACACCTGTAATTCCTCACATTCCACATCAGAAAGTCTGTGAAGACACAAACATTGTTCCAGAGAAACTAGCTACTTGCAGTGCACGTCGTGTTCATTTTCCCAGAAAACTGATCACTGTAATATAATTTTGTGTTTTTCCTTTTGTGCTCTGCTGCAAAAGTTATAGTATATAAATACTTAGATCAATTTCTTTTGAATATGTTTGCGAGTTGCTTAAAATTCTTATTGTATTAACTTTTCATTATTTTTGTTTAATTAAGACATGCATTGTATTGTTATATATTTCAATTTGAATTTAAGTATGTTATTACTATACATATATTTTGTATTTCCTGTGCTTACATTTTAAAGTATAAATTTTATTCGAATGTGTGTACCTTAAATTGGAATTTTGCAATCAACCCCTTTTGTATCGTGACTGTGTCACTGGGGGGGATACTCTGTGGCAATCTTATGTTCGACTCCGCTCGCCGCCAAGATGATGTCATATTGTTTTCGTAATAATCGTCAGCGCGACCAGCGAACTCACTCACACTGCCCTTAGCTCGAGTGCAAGAATGTTCAAATATTTATTTATGTAGAAGTTTTTCTGCTTTAATGAATAGTTGTGTTAACGTATAATTATATTAATGAATAGGTTTTTTTAATAAAGTTGTTTTTTAGCGAGGTGGAATTATGCCTTATTCACCGAGCCATGTCCTTCAAGTCATAATCTAAAGGCTTACAAGCAACCAAGCGGTAAAGCAGCTGCACATTGGTAGTCGGAACCTGGGGTCGATACTAGGCGAAAGAACCGGCTGGCTTCATGGGCGCTTACGTGGTTTTCCACATGTATAAGGTGGATACTAGCCAATTTCCCTTAGAAAGTTCTCTATGAAGGCATCCCTTCCCCTAAGCAGATAGCCTTCCTATGCTTTGAAGTAACCAAATAAACCATAAATAGCATGATATCTATAGTTGCTTTTACTTTTCCAGTTTTTCTCTTGACATGACTGTTTCAAGATTTACAATGAATATGTCCTTATTTCAAACTGCAAATTAATTCCCTCATAATTTGGTATTTTCATGTTTTCAGGGTTTATGAATAAAACTTATTCTAAATTTTTTTCTTATTTTTCAGTGTTTGGAGCATGCTCATGAATAAAACGCTTTTATGAAGTTTTCCAGAGAATCAGCTTACTTACTACTTTGTGTTATTACTCTGGCTCTCTTTTTACTCTTTCTTCGCCAAAGTAACCACAGTTATCCAAGACGTCTACTGCTTTCTGGATCTTATGTTGCTAGAAATGAAGATTTAGAACGTATGAACCTATTTGTGCATCCAGAGAAATATCCAATTTTCAATAATTTAATTGTTTTGCCAAAAACTCATCAGTCGAAATTGTTACAAAACAATCGGCAACTCTATGAACACGACAAATGGGTAGAAGCTTTTCCTGGATTTCTTCTTCACTCTGCATTTGAAACTGGGAAATATCAGCAGAAATTTAGGAAGAATGTGCGAATTCTTGCTCTGGGGCTTCCTCATGCTTTGAATATCTCTGAAGTTTTATGCTCATTTAAAAACAACGAAACTACATGGAATGAATCATACGTGACTTACTTTAGTTTTCGTCAGAATTCTAAGGAGACATTATTTCCTTATACTTTCGTCTGCTCCTATCATATTGAGGATAAACCTGTACAGGTTAGTCTACAGAAAGGAAACTTGAAAAATATAACACACTGGCTAACTATTCATCACAAACAAAAGAACAATCTTCAGAAAAGAGAAATTTCTGTCTGCACGCCCCCCTTTTACAATAAATTTAACGACACTAGACTTCTTGCAGAATTTCTAGCTTTCTATGATGCTGCAGGTGTGTCCTCATTCACTTTTTACGATTATGACATGTCACAAGATGTTCGTTCGTACTTTGATTTGCTTAACCAAGAAGGAATGAATATTACAATAATTCCGTGGAATATTCCAACTTCTCTGGCGTCTTCTGTATGGCATTACGGGCAATTAGCAAGTATCCAGCACTGTCTTTACAGAAACATCGAAAGAACCAAATTTGTTCTTCTGGTTGCTGTAGATGAATTTCTTGTCCCTCGACAACACTTTTCACTAGTCGAATTAATGTCTGAATTGAGTTCAAAATCTAAGAGGAAAATTGGTAGTTACGTATTTCGTCAAAGTTTCTTTTGTTTAGAAGGAATAAAAATGAACTCATTTTCTCTTTACACTTCTGATCGAATTGAAAAAATATGGCCACCTAAGATTAAGTCAAATGTTATGGTTAGGCCAGAAACGGTGATTGAAGGGGGAATCTATTACGTCCGAAAGCACGTAAAAGGCTGGAAATCAGCTAAAGTGCCTTGGCAACTAGCTCTTGTACATCACTATAAATCATGCCCAAAACAAAACCATACTAAAGTTACTCAAGACAGAACTGCTGAGTCTTTTAAATTTGAAATTATTTATGCAAAACCTATGACTGTGTACAGAGAGATGAAAGGCTTATGAAAGAAGTTTATAAAATAGATGATACTTTATCTAGATGTGAGTTATGTCATAGTCTACATAAAAATGAATATACTTACAGAACCATAAAATAAGTTAAGATTAGCTTTTAAAAATGAATAAAAATTATTTTCAAATTATTTAATTTCGTTGGATTTTACATACCTTGAATTACTTTGGCATTTAATTTCCACTGTCATTAAGGTGGAGCACCAAGGTTTCTACTACCGCATCGCAGAATAAAATGCGCGTTTCGACTGCTGCGTACAAACGCGTTGCGTCAGTTGGAGACATGCCATCGTAATCGAGCCGCATCCACACGAACCTTTCTACTGCCGCGTATCCGTAAATTATTTTCATTTTCCGCCGCTAGGTGTCACTGTAATATTATTGCGCCAAGCAACCAGTTCGCGAGCTAAATTTTTCCCTCTCAGGCGAGTATTGTCAACACCACTTAACTCTCGGTGGTGTCTGTATTGTTCGTTATGGATTTGATATGGATCCTGGCGTAAAACGCAGAAAGGTTTTGCTTATTTTACTTTCAAAGGAAGCAAAATGGGCCAGTTATAGAAGAAAATGAGGGATGAAACCCAGTTACCAAAATCAGATGCAGTGTTTGTAGTTATTGTTGAATTATCATTTTCTGTACGATTAAAGCGACACACAATAAATTTAAATTTAAATTATGTAGTTTAACATACCAGTGATACATACACACAAAAAAAAATATTCAGAAAAATATTAATTACGGCTAATATTTAAAACATGGCTGATTTCTTGCTGAGCGTTTTTTTTTTTTTTTTTTTTTCCCTTAAAGATGCATTTTTATATTTCTCATTTGTGATGTCATATAATGCAGAATGCTATTGAACGTCTTCGATAACCATTTCGTTGTAATCCATACGTTTCGCCATTATTTCTGTTGACAACAAAAAATGGGTCAAATCGTTGATTCCATTGGCTACTTTATCATCCGTCGCCGCACGCCGACGGACGGCAGATGTCAATTAAAATGAATTCGCTCGCTGACTAGAGAAACGCATACGGAACGCTTTAATAACGCAGTAGTGGAAACGGGCCTTAACACCACCAGTGATGGAACTGAAGTATAAATTACGTTTTTAACATTATCATCGTCGAGGAACCCTCAACATGAAGGAGTAGTTTCAGATGTGGTAAAGGATGAAAATCACTTGGCTATGAGTCTTGTTTGCACAGACGAGATCATTTCAAGCTAAAAGCTTTAGTCGCTGTCGTTACCTCTCCTTATTGTTGCATTACATGTGGCATATCTCTCTAAAATATCACAAAGCTGATGAATAATATATGCCGATTTCACATTGCTTACATTCAAGATACAGGTAAAAAACTACACGTAATTCAGCTAGCCACTTGATTATCGTGAGCATTTTAAACGTAGAATGTCATGAACATTCTCCAAACGTGAATGAACGTGAACATTTTAAAAGTAGAACCAGAAAAATTTTACAGAAAATTAAATCGTCTAGTTTTCTCTAAAGTTTTTCTGTAGATTGCCAGCAGGTTATATAATTCACCTTATGCGAGAACAGTTATGACGTCAACATTTCAAAGGTACTATTTGCTAATGGAACTTATTTTCTGGAGGTCCTTCACGAATTTTCAGATGCAAATTTCTTCACAAGTGTCAGTTGATGATAAATATCGTAAAACAATTATATGTCATCCAAAATGGTTTATTATAAAATACGATCATTAAATTTTAAAAGATATAAAAAGCGTTACATATGACTTAAAGTACGTGCGATCTTTTGTTACAGATATTCTTGTTACAATAAAGATTGTTCACTTTTTTACAAACTATTTAGCAACTAGACTGCCAACTCGAATGCCTTCTTTAATATGAAGTAATATTTTCCAATGTAATAAAAACTAATAATTGCACATTTCTAAAATATTTGGGAACTGATTATGACAGCAAGCAATACGTGGCCTGATAACTTGTCTATTTTAACTGAGGTATATATCTTTTTAGTATATTGTGTATATCATACTTGTATAACTAACTGACACCTGAAATGGATTCATGCTCCTGAACTAAGTCTCTTAAGCTGTAGAGTCTCGTACTCTTAGTAACATAAACTAACGGGACCTAAAAGACTATATAAGGAATTATCCTCAGGTTTTAAGCACAATAGAAAGTCAGAAGAAGGGTGTAAAGAACACTCGATATAATTTCATAGATGGCTCCACTTGGGCGTACACGAAGCCAAAACTTCTGGCTTAACTCAAAACAAAAACGATGAAGTTAAAATAAAATATAGTAACGGCTATATTAAAATTTAACGGGCAGGAAGCCCCTGACTCGTAGAGGTCGGCTTAAACAAACTTAATGGCTAGAAGCGCTAAATGCCCCAAAAATCTAATCGGTATTAATTCAAGACAGCAACATGGTCTTGAAGCAAGCATAATACGCTCTAAAATCACCTTCCCAAACCTTCCTTCAAATATCACTTCTTTCTATCTCATTTGAGTACACACGCGCTAGCTTATTAAAATTCTGGCAAGAAATCGTGAGTGAAAACGAGACTGAAAGCTGCTTTTGTAAAAATTGACCGTTTAGTTAAATTAAATAAATCTCCAGAAAAGTCATAATTTTAGTTTCAGTGTCAGTGTGCCATACATTTGTACTTCTTAAGCAATCTGTCAAAGACAGCTGTGAACAAAAACATCAAATTTAGAGAGATGCAAAAGTTATGACTTGCTATTTTATTCTCCTATGAAAGGCTTTATTCCTCTATTATTTATCATTTATTCTCTTATGAAGCAATTTTCAGAATAATCCGAAAATATCATATGCTAAAAAGAAATCTTTTTTGTTTAAAATGCTTTAAGACAGAACTTACAGTTTAATTTTAAATTTAAATATTAAATTCTGAGAAAGAATTTAGTTCATTAGGCAAGTGAGTAAGTCAAAAACTAATTTACTTTCCTTTAAAAATATATGTATGTTATTGGAAGGCAAAAGAAGGAGATATAGTACTCTATTACATTACAGTACACGTAGAAGATCACATCCGTCCCAGGTCGTGTCGTATGGAATTGAACGTCATTTCAGCGGAAATTATCGGATAACTCGTAACCCTAACTTTTGGCATACAAGCCCTGTTGTTCAATACATTTCTAATAGTTTTTCCTGCTACAAGATATTTCGAACAATACAGTACTGTTGCTTACAAGACATTTACTCTTCGTCAACCTTTGACTGTTCATGGATTAGTGGTAGAATGAATTTTGTTGTACATGTGTGAATATTGAAAAAATACGTATTAAAATCGAGAAGGAGAATTTTCTGTTCGTTGCATTCAGTAGGTTTATTTCGTATTACACGATAATTACACACATGTCCGTTTGCTTTAGTAGAATATTAAGTAAACGGTAAATATGCATTATATTAATATATTTACATTTACAGATACAAGAGTAAAAAATCCTTAATTATATTTAAAAATTAAGAATGTATAGCTTCTGTTATTTATACTAGGAAAATACAAATTAGTTGCCAATTCAATATCTTTTTTACTCTTTCGGATTTATATTTGTCACAAGTTTTTAATGCAAATATTGAAAATACGATTTTCTGTGAATTTTCTGCTCCCAAACTGCACTGTTTTAAAGTACTGAGTTAAAAATCTTACGCATGAATATTGGTCGAATTTTCATATTTCTGAATATATCAACACTTCACTTTATGTTTGCAAAGCGTAAAATATTACAATAAATTATTTTCTGAAGTCCACTTGATACGTTGTAGGATAGTTCAGAATTAAAATTAAGTTAGTTGAATGTGGCAAAGACACGAGGGGCTTTCTGCCTAAGAGGAAAGATGCTTTCCTGGAGTTTTCCTTTCTGAGGAAAACTGACTCGTATTCAAGTTACGTATGGAGAAAACCATGAAAACGAGCCATGCAGCCAGACAATTGGCCTGGGTTCGAACGCAAGATACGTCGACCTACCAATATTAAACAGTGTTAACCGCTTAACCACTGGTAGGACAGTTCAGAATTAAGATTAGAATTAATGTAATAATTATATCCAGAAAGACGCCCTACTTAAATCTGAGGATAAGTCAAAGTGAGACCGGACCAAGGTCCTAGCTTAACTAACTGATTTAAGAAAATCAATTCGAGGACTGTCTGCAGTGTTATGGAAAAGGAAATCGTGGCTTGCTTTTTAAATGAATCTGTCTCCAATTCAGATATAGTTTAGGAAAAATCACGAAAACTCCCATGCAACTAGCCTTTCGCTGGGATTCGAACTCGGGTCAAAATACCTGTGTTCAATAAATTTACCTCTCAGCCGAGGTTGGGTCACAGACTAAGACACGCTCATTAGTTTATTAAAAGAGACCCCATACTCATAGTCATAGGTCTATTTAAAGAAACCTCAGCTTGTAAAAATTTCAATTTTATGAATCACTAGTTTCCAAGCGTTTTCTGCTGCATGAGCATTTTCAGGTTGTGTTTTTAAATGCAGCGGCAAAACAGAAAGATCCTTTTTTAATCAACTGAACAGCAAAAAATAAAAAGTGTCTAACTCTCATATTTTTTATTTTTATTTCAGATGTTTGAGGCAAATTATTGCTTTGCTGTTTTGAATTCCGTGATAAAATTTCTTTTCAACCTTTTATATTCAACGGCTTCTTTAGGCTTCATATAATATAATCTTCTTTTGATGTGACTGTAGCAGTATTCTCTTTTATGTTACATAAAGAATGCATGGTATATGGACAGTAACGACTATTAAACGACAAAACTTACGTAGTAACGACAGACCTTATTTATATAAGTATTATTGTTTTAAAAATCGAGCATGCGTGTTTTAATTATACATTTTATTCTTTACATGATAGCTTAAAACTAAGATTATAATCAATATAATAATTTTTTCTTATTAGAAAATATTACAAATGCACAGATTCTTTTTAAGAAAAACAGTTTTCAAACAACCAGAATGCTTTAGTAATGTACACAAATTTGAAGAAACATTCAAAGTCCATTTGAAGAAACTGATATTATGCCTCTGTTAAAATACTGCAAAATAATAAGTGCTTAAAAAAGAACCAATAATTACTAATAGGAATGGTATAATGTAAGTAAGTTTTCGATACTATATAGGCGAGATAAACTCGTAAAGTAAAACTAAGTATAAAATACACAAAGCAGGACTGACGTAGGTTTTATCCCCTCACTTCGAATTTAATGTTCAACATCTTTGAGGCTGCTATAGGAACAGGTAAACGTGAGCTAGTCCTTCGTTGCTTACAGCTGATGTAACTAGAGCTCCTCCCATCCCCTCGAAAACTGGACTACATTCCAATGATCACATGGTTTCAAAAGAGATAAAGTGATACTCCTTTTAATGCTGTTGAACGTTGGATAATACATTTGAAAATGCATAAAATGTTAAGGAACTAGCCTAATTTCTCTAGCGTCTAGTGCATTGACAAGCGCGTCACTGATTGAAAATTGTTCAGACCAGCGGTTCTCATCCTTTTGACTAACGCGTACTATCTAAACAAAAATTCAAAAACTTTAGTACCACCATTACATTTTACAATAATTATTTTTCAGTTCCCCAATAAAAATATTTAAAAAAATAGTTTGCCATTTGCACAACTTATTGGCTATTTGTATTAAATATG